GTCGGTGCCGGCCGGCGCCAAGCCCGTGCCGCACAAGGCGCCGTGGTGTTTTTCCCGCTCTGACAGCTGTATGGAAATTGGAAGGCGACGCTGACATGTGTCAACAATAACCAGCGAACAAGCGCTGACGGCGGCGGCTGTCCCCACCACCTAGAGGAGGCTGGCCACTCTTGGCTGAAATCACAACAAATTGCGGCTGGGAAGCAGGAGTATTGTTTCAATTATTTCCATTATATAAAGTCAAGCCATTTAATATATTCTGCCTCAAAGGGGCTCAACTAAAGAGATAAAATAAACACTGGAAATCTGCTCCGCTGGCACAGAGGAGGAATTCGGTTTCGACACCAAACCTTCCCTCCCACCTCGCCGCTCGTCTTCCCTTTCGTCCTCCCTGCTCCCTCTCCTCCTCCCGCTGCCCCTCGGCCTTCGGTGCCGCTCGACACCAATTCCATCTTTGGGATTTGCTTCTGTTTTGGCAGCTGGAGCGCTCGGAGGCTGCACAGCAGCACCGGTGGCTGGGGCCGGAGCTGAGCCGGAGGAGCCGTGCTGGCAGGAGGGGAGTGGGAGCTTCAGTGCTCTCTCCGGGATGAAGGATTTGATTTAAGGCAAACCTTAAACCTCTCAGGGTGCTGCATCCCCCCGAGAGCAGCAGGACCGGTGGGTGGCACAGACCCAGGACCAGCTGGAGCGTGGCAGGAGGAGGAGAAGGAGCGCAAGCATGCCGTGAGCATGCCGCAGGCTGCTCAGCACGCTTGGCTGACGCCAGTGCTGAAGTCAGCCACCTTCACGCCATCCTCCTTGCCTGGGAGAACCGACGGCATCCCAGCACCGAGGGGCCTCACCAACTCTGTGTGCCAGCGTGGGAGGTGGCAAGAGGGGCTGCCGGGCAGGCTGGAGCTGCCTCCTGCCGTGCAGAGCCCAGCTGCTCCCACCAGCTCCAGCCAAGCGGGAGCTGCTTCCCATTATAGCTACCCGTGGCACCGGCCTCGTCGGAGCTCTCCTCCCTCGCGGGGCTGTGCCGGCCCAGGTGTTCCCAATATGCCGGCGCGGGGAGGAGCGCCCAGCCACACCAGGCTCCTTCACGGGCAGTAAATCTGCAGTTTGGCCTTTCCCCGCGAGTTTCCCTGCGCATCTGCTGAGCTCCGAGCTCTGCCTCCCCCGGAGTACGGTTCATGGTTGGTGCCACCGCTGGGGACCCGGGTGACGGAAGCGGCCATGCCGTGGGATGCCCGGCGAGGGCCGCGGTGTGGCGTTAGGTGGAGCCGGCATTTCGTAAGCGCAGGGGAAAGGGCCTCTGCCGAGCTGGCGTGGGGAGCGGCTGTGACTTTCCATTCCTGTGGGAAGCGGGCTGCCACCGTCCAAGCATCTGGGCTTGTTATGATGGGAGAGGAATGCCAAATATTTTTCTTCCTTATCCACTACCATCCGCTCAAACCCTCCCCTGATCAAACCCACATTCATCGCCTGGGATGCACGAGGGCCCCTGCTCTGGAGAAGATATCCCTCCTGGCCACCGCTCTAGCCCTCGCGGCTGCAGGAAGCTCATTGCACCTGGGGAGAAAACCCTGCCTTCGTCCGGGGGCTCCCTCCGTCCCGCTGCCCCTTGCTGTCTCCTTCCCCCCACTGCCAGCCAGCTCCAGCCGTTTCATTTTCACTTTGCTGCCTTGGCCAGGAGCATCCCTGGTGCCAGCATTCCTGGTGCCAGCATCCCTGGTGCCTGTATCCCGGTGCCAGCATCCTTTGTTCCAGCATCCCTGGCTGACCTGTGGCCCTGGCGGGACCACGCTATCCCCACCGGAGCCCCAGGCACCCCGAAAACGGCCCCTGGGGTGGTGCCACGGGCGTGTGCCCAGGAGCACCGGCCGTGCCGGGAAGCAGGCGGTGCTGCCTTGGAGGGTCACCAAGATTTTTCCAAAGATGAAAGCGTGCTCAAGTGTCAAACAAACTTTCCAAATTATCTTCCTGGACACTTTCTCCCTTTGGAAGACAGACGAAGAACATTTCATTCCCTCTGCACTGGCGTGGAGCGGGGCTGCGTGAGGGAGCCGGGAGCTGCCAGCAGCGCCCGCAGGCTCAGCCTTGCTTCTCCCCGGCATCACCCATGAGTCACCATGGTTGCCGCCCCGGCACCGTCAGCCGGGCTCCCCGCCCCCTGCAGCCCCCCGAAATGCCTCCAAGCACAACAGAGGGGTAACAGGCGCCTGACTAATCAGCGGACAACACATCATCCCTTCCCACTGCAATTTTCAGAGGAGTAGTCATAAATAGCCAAATTAAGGCAAATGAGAGGATTTCTCTGCTCCCTTGGGGACACCTGGCACCCACCGGCAGCGACCCGGGACTGGCAGCTCTGCTGGCCTTGGCAAAGCCTCTGCGCTATTGCACAGCCCAGCGATGAGCTGAGCAAATTGCCACGTGCCATCCCCGAGGACCCAGTGCTAATGAAAGCCACCTAATTAGTGCGCTCCTCCTGCAAGGGGGCTCACCCTGGCAGGGCTCGCTCCGACATGCGCTCACTCGCGCCAGCAGCCGGAGACCATGACCGGGATGAGGCGCTTCCCTGGCCCTTGCACAGCATTTTCCTTCCAGGTCCGGACAATGAAAATTCCCAATCAGTTCCTGGGGAGCTGGGCTGGCCCCTCTGCGGGGCGAGGAGCTGCCATGAGCCCTGCCAGGGTGCGAGCCCAGCCGGGCACTCGCGGCCGTGGCCATCCATCACTAGATACTGGCATGTCCGTATTTTTCTCAGCTCTCAGCTTTCGGAGATACTGGCCATTCCCATGTCCGTATTTTTCTCAGCTCCCGTGCCGAGATGGTGCCACCACACGGGCCCCCCAGCCCACGTAGATCCACGATGGGGATGCCATGTTGTGGGCTTGGTTGTTTATGGAAAGTAAGGCTGAGCCAGATGCTGAAAACCTGCATTTTATGGGTAATTTTTCAATTTATTTCGTATTGGCATTAGAAAAAAACCTAAAGTGATCCCAACCATTATTACTCCTGCTTTCCTGTGGCGAGGCCCAAGGGGTCTGAAGCGTTTCCTTCGTTGTCTGAATCATTAACTCTTTGGGAATGAAACGTGGTGGTGCTGGATGGGAGCGGCGGGGAGAGACGTTCAGGGAGGCTGGCGGGGAAAGGGGGAGCCAGAGGGAGAAATTCATGGGGGCAGAGAGGAGAATAACACCGATGCGCTTTCCCTGGGCACGGTCGGATGCCCCAGGACACTGATGGACACATCCACTGCAGCCCCGCAAGCGGACCCCCCCCCCCAGTGCAATGAGTTTGCTGGTGCTCAGTGGTCCCCCAACCCATTTGTCCCTCCCAGGTAAAGCAGACCCAGAGCATCCAAGGTGGGAATGAGCCCGCGCTGGCCGGCCTCAGCCTTGCCTGCAGGAGCAGATCCCAGTAAAATAGGTGCACCCTGCAAGAGTGAAGCAGGCAGAACCTCTCCCTTGGTCAATTGGAAGCCATCAAGACCGAGGTCCACCAAGATCCCAACCCAAACCTCTCTGTGGAGCAAGCGGGGACGCAGCGTGCTGGCAGAGCCACCTGAGCACAGCTCAAGAAATGCTGGGTTTTCCCCCAAAAGATGGGAGCCAATTCTTGGCCCTTTTATTTCCCTGTGCCCCGCAGCTGGCTGGGGTGTGGGACGGGCAGGCAGGTCAGCATCTGTCCCGGGGGTGCTCAGGGAGCAGGGGGGTCCTGTGTGCCCAGGAAGCCCCCTCTGTGCCCTCTCTGGGGTGGGGGAGGAGAGGGCCATAATGTGCTGGTTTGCACTTGCGGATGCCGGGGGCGGGTGCGCTGTTGTCGGGGCTGCCACTGGTGGCCAGTGGCCCTGGAGCCCTGGTCGGGGAGGTCACCAGGCTGCTCCAGGGCATGGCTCCTGGCACGGGGCCGGCACGTGCTAGTACGATGGGGTGAGCACATGGAGCTCCCAGGACGGGGACCCGCAGCACTGGCACCTGTGGCTCACCTGCAGGTACCTGGCAAGCGAGGTTTCACAGCCGAGCACCTTCCCCCTCCTGTCCCGCACCCCGCTCCGGGCACAGCGAGAACCTCCGAGGTGCGTTTTGGGGAGCACTGCATGGGGCAGGGAGCGTGGGCGGCCGCGTGGGAGCCGGGAACGGCTCAGTGCAGCTCAGCTCAGCTCAACTGAGCTTGGCTCAGCACGGCTCAGCTTCGCGTGGCACGGCTGGTCTCGGCACAGCTCAGCTGGGCTCAGCTCAGCTCAGCGCAGCACAGCTCGGCTCAGCTCAGCTTGGCTCGGCTCGGCGCAGCTCCCGCAGCTCGGAGGGAGGTGAGTTACGAGGCGCTTGGAAAATCAGAGTCAGCTGCAATCCTGGGGACAGCAAGGGCAGATCCACAGCCGCCGCCGGAGCTGCCGGG